GTAAATCCAACCATTAACGAGACCTGTAAGATTTTGACCACATTAGTACCCAGGTGTGTATCAGTGATCTACCAAGGGGTGGGGGTATAGAGCTAATTTTAATGGGTGTATATTGCAGAGGGGTATTACTGGCCGTGTGTGTGTGTATGTGTGAGAATGAAACTGACCAGATCTTTGATTAAAGTTGTATGCGTTTAATATCTCTCTCTCTCCTCACTACTTCAATCATGTTGTAGTTCTCACGGTCTTTCAATAGCCTAATTAACATACTGCGTGTTAATTATTCTAAGGCATTGGGAGAGAGATAGAGAGAGAGATGAATGGAAATGTGATGAGAGAGAAGAGGAGGAAGGAGAGACAGAGAGACAGAGAAGCAAAGAATTTAGTGGAAGGAAAAAGAATAAAAAAAAGTATCTCAGGTGATGTCTGTGACGGAACTTTTTCGTTTTCGTGGGAAATTAAATGTCAAGAAGCGATTATCAGTGGGAATCCTCAGAAGGTGTAGAGAAGCTAACACTATTCCTTTTATCTTTGTTCATTCTCATATATTTTCGTTCATATTCTCGGTACTTGCTCTTACTATGTTGATGTCACTGGGGTTATTATTATTATTATTATTATTATTATTATTATTATTATTATTATTATTATTATTATTATTATTATTATTATTATTATTATTATTATTATTATTATTATTATTATTATTATTATTATTATTATTATTATTTAGCTGTAATATAGTCCTTAATGTCACACAGAAACTTAATAACTCACCTGAACTTAATAACTCACCTGGACTTAATAACTCACCTGAACTTAATAACTCACCTGAACTTAATAACTCACCTAAACTTAATAACTCACCTGAACTTAATAACTCACCTGAACTTAATAACTCACCTGAACTTAATAACTCACCTGGACTTAATAACTCACCTGGACTTTATAACTCACCTGAACTTAATAACTCACCTGGGAAGGCGTTCACATGCACGTCTCTTATAGTGTTGTATCCGAGATCAATAAGTCCAGTGGTATGGCTACACTGTATGGCATTCTCGTCCAGGTGGGTGATGAGATTAGCGCCCATTCCTAGGTTCTTCAGGAGCTTCAGGTTTTCAAAGGTTCCTGTAGGAGACCACAACATTGTTAGGTATGTATGTATGTATGTATGTATGTATGTATGTATGTATGTATGTATGTATGTATGTATGTATGTATGTATGTATGTATGTATGTATGTTACTCCTCTGATCTTCTCTTTCTCTCCGTATCTCCCTCTCTCGTTTTCCATTCCTTAATTCTCAGTTTCTATCTCTCTCTTTCCCTCTCTTCCCCTCTCCGTTCCTTTTCCACTCTTTTCCCCTCTCTCGCTTCTTCTTCCTTCCTTCTCTCCCTCCTCCTCTCTCCTTCCCTCTCTCCTCCCTCTCTCCATCCCTCTCTCCTCCTCTCTCGTTCCCTATCTTCCTCTTTTTGTTCTTCTCTCCTTCTCCTCCCCTCCCCCATCCTTCCCTCTTCACAGCCGTATATATTGAACACCTGTATAATCTCTGACTCGTCCATCGTGGTTCTTTTAATTAACCACTACGTTATAACCGGAAAAAATATAACGAAGAGAGGAGGTTAATGGTGGTTGAATTAGGAATGAAAATAACGTGTATGTGTGTGTGTGTGTGTGTGTGTGTGTGTGTGTGTGTGTAGAACCTGTATGTGCATATTAAAGAGTTCAATATTGACAGTGTGTTATTTTTAGAACCTTAGCGTTTTTAGTATATGTGTTTGTTTTAAAGCGATATGCCTCTCAAGTTTGTTAGGAAAATCATTTTATACTTCCGATTGGGGTCACACCGTTAGACAGACAGACAGACAGACGGGCGAATGGATGAAAAAAAAATCACGTAATATATTAAATACCTGGAATAATTTCAGGTATCCTGGTTTGAGAGAGGTGAATGTTGACCAGTGATGGGGTGTTAGCGAAGGCGTGTACCGGAAGCTCCCCCAGAGGGTTGACTGAGAGAAAGAGACTCCCTAGTGTCTCAGAATATAGCTCAGGAAATCCTTTTATCTCATTATGTCTCATATCCAGGGAAGTAAGCATTGGGAAGTCTTTAAGATCGAGGAAGGGGAAAGAGGAGATGTTGTTGAAATTGAAGACTAAATTGACAATGGTTGAAGCACTGGTTGATAGAGCTCCTTCTTCGACTTCTTCAAGAACGCCGTCAGTGATCCAGAACTGTTCGAAGGTTATGTTCCCTAGATCACTTTTACGTAGGACCTTCACGTGTTGATTGTTTTTGATGGTTAATCTCCGGAACTGAGGATAAGGGAAGTTAGCCTTGAAGACTCTGGCTAGGTCGTCCTCATCCTCCACATCTGAACAGTCAAGGTCGAGTGAGATCTTATTCCACTGAGAACACACACAAGGGATGATGTCTTCCTCGACTGGACATGCTAATTCTCGAGGCCCAACAAAGCAGTCTTCGGTTTGTGGCTCCTATCTTCTCCTATCCACTCAGGGACGTTACCTCGAGGATGCCTCACTCTGCTTTTTTTTGTACCCACACCTGCCCATCCAGGAACGATACTACAGACACCCAGTATCACCAGCAGGAATATGGAACAGATCTGCATGGTGAGGGCTGATCGCCGGTGTTGTCAGCAGTGGTCGGGTGAGGGTTGTGTGAGGGGTAGATATACAAGGCTCGTGTAGACTTATCAGCTGTCACAACGAGCCTTGACTTAATACTTTGGGGTGATGCAGCTCAAACTTCTGTTGCTGGGTGGTACAGTGTGGTGGGTGGTGTGACTGCGGTGCTGTGAAGTAGTCAGGTGATGCAGCAGCTGGTGAGATAACAAACTAATGTGTTCTGGTGAGTCAACTGATGCAATATGTCTCGAATCTCTGCCATCAAACCCAACACTAAAAGAGAATTAGGTGTTTACTGGTCATCAAAACACTACAGTCCCGTTAACATGTAAACACAAAAATAAATCGGTGAGTGTAGTTTTGTTATAAATTTTCGGATCACGTGAAGATTAGGTACCCCAGTTATTATCTGATGAATAAGCATCCTAAAGCTTTTTTTTTTACAGGGATTAACCCACCGGGTACAGGTCACTGACCCACATCAGGGCCTGGGGGGCGAAAATAAATAAATAAATAATAATAATAATAATAATAATAATAATAATAATAATAATAATAATAATAATAATAAATACAAAAGTGAAAAAAAAATCAAGTGTGAGAAACAATATACAGTATGTTTGTTGTGTTGTCAAAGTAAGATAAACAATTGAGAGCCTGCAATTGTGTGTAAATGAGGCAGAAAGTCAGATCACCAACCTGGGACTTGGTCACAATTTCTGTGATGCCTTATGTTTAGTGAGTTAAGTGTGGTTAGGTTAGGTTAGGTTAGGTTCGACTACGTAAAGTTAGGTTAGATTAGGTTAGGCAAGAAAAGATGATATTTTGTATGGTTATGTTAAATTGGGTTCAGATTGTCTATGTTAGCTTATATTAGCATAAGGGTATTTAACCATCAGAGTAAATAAGCTGGGGTATCTAATCTTCAAGTGATCCAATAAGCTGGGGTGTCTAATCTTCAAGTGATCCAATAAGCTGGGGTGTCTAATCTTCAAGTGATCCAATAAGCTGTGGGTGTCTAATCTTCATCCTGAACCAATTGTCCTCTTTTTTCAGTAACTACTGTAGTTAAATCACCAAAGCTAACCACTGATGTCACTGTATCTCGGCCTCATCACCTCTCGGACGGGCGCTATTCCCCACGTGAAGGACAGACTAAGAAAGCCAAAGTCGCCGCCGCCAAATTAAAACGTTTTAAACTGATGCCTGAGAAGATACAAGTTCACCTGTACAAGGCGCTGGTGAGGCCTGTGTTGGAGTACCCACTCGTCACACTCGGGAAGACCAGACTACAACAACTACAAAGCTTCTAAAACAAGTGTCTAAGGTCAGGCAGTGCCCAAGCGCCACCCTACCAGGAGACAGTGGAAGCCATCCACCTGAGAAATAAAACAGAGGCCCTCAACGTCAGGTTCCATCGCCCGCACTACAACAACCCAACCCGCGACCCATCTATGTCCGCCACAGTGATCCTCCTTAGATTAAAACTTAGACGATATAAATTCACATTTAACAAGTCACAATCAAGTGAGTCCATAACGTAAAACAGTATAAGATTTTAATAAACATGTAATTGTAAAATCAAAATAGTCATTGTCTACCAAAGTAACCATTGTGTAACCTCATCCTAAATCCTAGGTTAGCTTAGTTAGCCAACAAACTCTGTAATATGTAAAACAAGGGGTGTCGTCCCCCTCTGTTTAACTCATTAAACTTCTTTTCCAACCTTTCCCCCCACGACTATATGTTGTGACTTCTCCATCCCTCATGTCTGGCTGTGCCCTTATTATAGAATGGATATCAATTCACTGGAGTCGGTGCAGCGAAGAATGGCGAAAATGATTCCGGGACTTAGAAACCTTCCATATCAAGATAGATTAAAGAAACTAAACTTGCATTCCCTAGAAAGATGAAGAGTGCGGGGAGATATGATAGAAGTATTTAAGTGGGTGAAAGGAATCAATAAAGGGGATATAGATAAAGTTCTTATAATATCAGAGCAGGATAGGACTCGGAGCAACGGATTTAAGTTGGATAAGTTTAGGTTTGGAGGGAGATAGGAAGAAACTGGTTCATAAACAGGGTGGTAGACGAGTGGAACAAGCTTAGCAATTTGTAGTAAGTGCTGGGACACTGGAAAGTTTTAAAAAGAGGCTAGATAGATTCATGGACGATAGAGAGTGGTTGTAACTCTCTACAGGAGCTGCCATGCACAGGTCAACCGGCCTATTGCAGACTCCTTATTTTCTTTTGTTCTTATATTATGGGGAACCTCACATGGTGTAGTAACTCCCTCAAAGATGGTGTTATGAGGGGCATCACGTGGTGTAGTAATTCCCTCAAAGATGGTGTTATGAGGGGCCTCACACGATCCTGTAGCAACTCATTCGCTACGTGGTGTAGCATCATGGGGACACCACGTGGTCTGGTGTCACAGGACCTCACTCACTCAAGTGGTGTACAGTCAGGTGTGGTCCCAGGCCTCCCTATCGTGGACGGATTAACACATCACTGCTTGTTGTTGGGTCGCACGGGCAGTTATCACTGGGTACCTGGGACCTAATTGTGTGAAGGTTAACTTGGGTACGACTCTCAGATGTTACTGTTGAGTTGTTTTCACTGACTTAAGTGCTGTTCACCACTGTTCACCACTGTTCACCACTGTTCACACTGTTCACCACTGTTCACCACTATTCAACACTGGTTCCATTTATTTCCAAATGAAATAGTAACTTCTTGCGAGAATTTGTTGATATTCCGGTGGGAAGGAGGGGTTAAGGGGAGGGCGTTGGGGTGTGTGTCAACATAACAGCTGACTGGCCGCCACCGGACAGCGCCAGAGACGTCTTGGCCCTTCGGTGTGTGTGTGTGTGTGTGTGTGTGTGTGTGTGTGTGTGTGTGTGTGTGTGTGTGTGTGTGTGTGTGTGTGTGTGTGTTCTGCCTGTTGTAAAATTCCCTTGTTTATAATATTATGTGTAAATTTATAAAGAATACTGAAGGCATTATATAAAATAATTAAATTCATACACATTTAAATTTCATTGATGGTAATATGCATTGTTTTATATATTCCATGATGTTTATATCCCACTACCTACCATAGAGAAAATAAATGTATATAGATATTTATATTGTTTTAGAGTAAAGAAAATATATCCAATTCGCATACCGTACAAAATGAATATAGTCAGGTAGGAAAAGTAACATATATATTTTTGAATTATGAAATTAGCCATGTGTATTTCATCCCAGGTGATATGAACAGGTGCGGACCTTAATTAAATCAGTAAGAGATAGGCCAGGTAACTGATGTCGAAGAATGAGAGAAAAAAAGAGAGAGAGAGAGAAAAAAAGGAAGTCAACCAAGAAAATATAAAAGTTTTCTCATTTTCTACGAGGATTTATTTTCTATATTTCTGAAGTAAACTGAAAAGTCTCTCTCTCTCTCTCTCTCTCTCTCTCTCTCTCTCTCTCTCTCTCTCTCTCTCTCTCTCTCTCTCTCTCTCTCTCTATTCTCACACACATACACACTCTCTCTATATATATATTTCTCTCTTTCTGTCTATCACACACACACACACAAACACACAAACACACACAAACACACACAAACACACACACACACACACACACACACAAACACACACAACACACACACACACACACACACACACACACACACACACACACACACACACACACACACACACACACAAACACACGTAGAAAGAACATCCAGAGACAGTCATTACAACACCCTCATTAACATACACCGTCTACCACATCATTAATATTCATTACCTCTCAACCTAACTCTCTCCTGTCTTCACCTAGGCACCCGGAGTCTCTGTCTTGAGTGACTGTCAACGAGGATGATGGAGACAGAATACAATATTAGGGTAAGTTTTTATTTTCCGAGATGATCAGGTAATGGACAGGTGTTAATGTACAGGTGAGAGTCTGTTAATTAGTTCTCTGTGGGGATGAAGACAAGATATTATGGTTTGTCTTCTTATACCTACAGGATTTAAGCGGCAAAGACAGATTGAAATTGGCTTTTTAGCTGATGAAGACAGATATGTTAATAACAGATTGAAGACAAAAGCCGAGGGAGAATATAATTTGATGCAGTCGAACTCAGAAGACAATATGGGATATAGGTCTGTTTTTTTTTTTTTTATTCTCGTGAAGACAGAAACTAAGCTTGAGTTTATGTTTGACTTTTTCTCTTCTGGCCGTCAAAAGGATGAAGACAAATTAACTCTCTTCAGTCTTAGGTCTTAATGATGATTATGATGATGATGATGATGATGATGATGATGATGATGATGATGATGACAAAGAGATGTTAATATAAAATGAATTGTCACTTTTAAGATTTTTTATGAGTTATTTGATTCAAGATGACAACAAACTGTTATTGATGATGTTACTCTCTCTCTCTCTCCCCCCCCCCTCTCCTCTGTAATAATAATATGTAATAATAATAATAATAATAATAATAATATAATAATAATAATTAGCGGTTTATTGAAAGAAACGCAACGGAAGGCTGAAAATATACAGTTACATAATTGGGGAATGGGTCTCTTGATTGACAAATAACATACAAGTAACATAAGTGATACAAATATGATATATAATAACTCGGTGGGGAGAAGGTCATACTACAGGGCATTTCAACATAGTGACAGTGCACAAAGGTAAGATTGACTGGGAGTGAATACACTGGTTGATTACAGGTTATTGATAATTTTTACAACGGTTGGGACTGGGCTGTTCTTATAGTGATCAGTTCGTGCTCGTATGGGCTGGATGCGGTTGTGGTGTCGACCAACAATTCGCGG